TGGTGGACGTCACCGCATACGCATACACGCACGCTGACGGGAGTAGCACACGTAGGGAAAACCACGAAGCACACGACACGGCACACCCATAGACTCCATTCGCTAAGGCCTCACACCCCACCTACTCACATCTGTCTTCCTCCGTCTCGTTCTCTCCATCAGGTGTGCACTCGCCAGGCTGCACGATCGGCCGGTCGACATTCTCCCTCTGTCAGTTCGCCAATCGGTCATACCATCCGAAACGTGCAGACTTTGGCAAACGGTCGCTTACACANNACATGCGCTGCTGCTGCTACTGCTGCACGAATCGATTGGGCAAACCAGCTTCTTTTGTCAAACCAGGCGTTTCACAATGCACCCACTCACACCCACCCATTTGGGCGATTGGGCACGCGCAAATGTGGAGGCAGTGGAGCAGCCAGCCACGATTAGACCTGTGCTGTCTACTTCGCCAATCCTATACACTACTCATAAATGGAGACGAGACCGGGAGAATGTGAGGTGTGCACATGTGTGTACGTGTGCATGTGTGCTCCGCTAATAGATTGTGGAGGCGCATAAGACTCATGACACTGAGTGCGTCTGTATACATATATATGTGTATGTATGTGTGGCATGTCAGAAACAAAACAGTGGGCGTGTGGACCAGCAATCCACCGACATCCCATAGACTGGGTGCGTGTCGCTACCGCTAGGGTGTTGTTTGCGTGCATGATGGGTGAATCTGCGAGTTAGATGACAAGGTTTGTGTGCCCATTACAATACAGGAAGGGAGAGAGAGAACGATGGTGGGTGCGCACAAGCACTCTTCGGGAAAGCTGCTGGAACGGAGGAACGGTTAGTGTTTGTGTGCATGTGAGTTATGGATGGTTTGGAGCAATGCCGATCAGTACGACCGTCCCAATTCTGTCTCAAGCGCTTATTCTGCTCAGTCCCAACACGCATTCATACTGTTATCGACCGTGGTGAGGCGAGCGAGTGCTCTGATTGTCCAAAGAGTCAGTCAACGCGCTTGTATTGCGAAAACGGACACAGCCAGACTCACATGCACGTACGCACGGGCAAACAGCTGATGGTTGTCGACTCTGTATCGGACAGACACATTTGAACATCCCCAATGTTCTTCTGTGTGTATATACACATCTGAACATATATGTGCGTGCATAGGTGTATAGACGTGAGTAGGGGCGAGAAATTATATCGACTAAATTGAGTGGCCTGTGCCACGTAGGTGCATGAGTATACATGTGTGTATGCCTATATGTGGCAGTCTGTGCGTGACGTGAATGTGAGCATGAACACTGGGCGATGCGTGATAGACATTGCATCGATGATGAACGATGGGAGAAAGAGTTCGGATAGATTCACCGAACACAGGGATTGGAATGTAATGGGATAAAAAATGAGCTCACAGAAATATTAGATCGATAGTGCTCCTTCCGTGTCGTGTAACATAAGTCACATGGGCCAAAACAGCATTTATCTCTATGAAATCTACACTCTTTGCACTAAAATTTAAGAGCACAGTGGAATCGATGTACAGGTGTTATCAAAAGTCCATATGAGAAATAATATCGATGCTGAAAAGTGGCACAGACGTTAGGTTGTAACCATGATACAGGCTTGTGATCACTAACGAGATACGAATAAAATAGAGAACAAGTAGATCGTGCGGTGGCGGTCCAGTTAGCCAACTAGAATTTGGTTTTAAGGGCTGAGCACCCGCGCGCAGTTAGATTTAAACATTCTTAAATTCATTATTCGTTCGGTACTAAAGAACCACCCTCTTAAACTGACGAAACTTCATAGTCAAATTCACCTTCAGATTCATTATCGCGAACCCTTCATGATAAAAAAGGATGTGTATAACGACATCTTGTTGTGGTTCTTACACAAGCCTGGTCCCCTACCTACTCTCTATCAAAACGACAGAAACAGATCACGATAGTAGTGCTGATTTTATCTCTCTACGGAATACTATTCGATACTGTAGATAACAAACTCTGAATGGCAGATTGAAGTGAATGAAGCAAACTGAGTAGTGAAGATAGAACTCGTTGCAATACCTATAGCTTTCAGCGCGACATGATCAAGTACTCAGTTTATGACAAAATTTGTTTCCTAACATTATTCGGATACAGATACCGCTCTTGGCTACACTGTTTAACCAAATGGGTAATCTACAAACAGCAACCAATATCAGCACACAGATTTGCAAGGTTGTGAACTGCTTGCAGCATGAGTGAATGGCAGCATGGGCCAAGGACCGTGATGATAAACATTTGAAGTAAGGCACCATAGTGTGGAATACGAATGATTATTCATGCTTCCATGCCTCTTTCCTTACTCAACAAACCTAAAACACTGCACGGCACAGAGTATCGCCCTCGTAAAGACATTCGTAATGGTGCATTTTCTCAAATTCACAGATCAGGATTAAAAAGGAAAAACGTGGTTACGGATCCGTGGTTCAGTTGGGGAAGGGATGTCATGAAAAAGTTATCACGCCAGTTGCACCCATGCGTGCAGCGTAGTTTGGCTGGCTTCACAATATGACCTGTGTGCTTGGGTCAACTAAAATGGTTATCGATCGTATCAGATAACCTTGATCATTCTGTGAAAAAATGGATGTCCAACGTGCCTGTGCACAATCGACTACATGAGCATGTTTCACTTTGAATCGGCGATAAAATGCCGTGTTCGAAATGCAGACACAGATAAGATGTAGGTATGATCGTTTTGCTAACAATGACGTCATCGCAGTTACGGCATGTGTGCAAGTTGAAATAATCTTGAATGTATAGACCACCATCCTGAGAATGTGCACTTTTATCTCGATGTTCGGTAATGGCAGGCAGGGTAAGCGACCGTGACCATAAGGCCCAAATGTGATACGCTAAAACAACCAGATCACTATCGTGTGTCACTAAGACTTGTGAGGACAGATCAGTGAATCAAGATTAGTTTGTTGCATTAAAATAAATCTTCTTACAGATGTGAAAATCGAAAGAAAACAAGAAACACAGAGACGAGTTGTTGCTGGCCTAATCGTATGGTCAGACTACAATTCAAAAACTGGTTTTATTCATCCAAATGTATGGATTTTCATTCGTGCACGCCAATCAATCTGTATAGGGTTTTCTAGGCAAGATGTTAGAAAAATATCACGCAGAACCTGGACAGCAGGTTTTAGCGAGACCGGTTGACGCAACAGCACCAAAGTGGTCATGTGGAGAATCGTCGTTATTGAAAGCACTGTGGAGGTTTGAAAACACTTCTAGCGGTGGGCCCAATCGTTATTTTTCCGTAATTTTCCCTCACTAACAAATGACCAACTATTGCAATATTTATATCAAAGCGCTAATTTTCACGGTTGTTCTTGCATTGGTATTCGATGTTTATTTCCATTGTTAGAGATTTATTATCATCGTCTTGTGAAAACTCGTTAGGTGGTATCAAATTTAAAGCGCACTTAAAATGCGGAGATTTTTTAGCTGTATGGAAGGGGGTGTTTGATATACTGCTTTGGAACAAATTATGGTTATTACATTGTTTGTGACAGATTTGGGTGATCGGTGCATCAACCGATGGGTTGCATGTGCCAGTTCAACCAGTTTTAATTATCATAACGTCCTCCTGGTAGACTTCCATGAGTTAACAACTTTACTAGTTGCATAAAAGATAAAAAGAAAGTTAGATTTTATTGTGTAAACCATTAACATGATACACTGGTATGTAGAATAAAGGTCATGACCTGTTGATGTCTGTGATTCTGGTTACATTGAATCTACACATGTATCTTCAAACAATTCGAAAATGCGTTCGCCAATTATGTGTTGTGCGAAACTTTCCTTTAAGACCGATCGACAGCCAGAAACGATACGCTGTTATTCGATAATTTAACGGTTTATTGCCACTCAGACTTCATCATCTGCGTGCGCTGACAGTGTGCGGTGTTGCTGCTCAACTCGCAACAGGGAACTGGTGCTGGCCAGGAACAGATGAACAAGTCACAAAGCCTACAGAATAGCTAGTTTTTTTTTCAACATCTGTCGTACTACGGTGTTTCATAAAAAAGGTTGGTTCTCCTAATCAATGGCAATGGTAGGAACTTTTCATCTTAACGGAACGTGATTATCTTTCAGAGCTGATCAATAAATCGATGTTGATACCTGTGTGGTGTCTAAGACGATAACATGCAACTTATGAGATCCATTATGATACTAAGCTGTTTTTATTAAAGTGTGAGCACAATCGGCAGAAATAAACTGATATGCGACTTTATCCATTCTGTGCATCACTGTAAACCCTTTTTCTTACTTTCCCCATGTAAGACAACTAAGGTCTGGCCACGAGCAGCACAAAGATTCGGCACACGTTTTGAGGAGAAAGGGGGAAGGATGCCATCACGCGACACGCGCTTGTCGTGCAAGTGCCTTTGTTCCAAGGCAGCTGAAAAGTAGTCCCGCTCAAGGTCATTAAACGCAGTATTGGAGTTCGGCGGCATAATGGGTGCTCAGCTCACCCACTCACATGCACGCACGCGCACACACGATGTGACAGGACAAGCCATTGGGTGCTGACTCACCCAGAATGGGAGCGGAGGTAGCAGTCGGGCGACTGCACTGATGTGCACTGAATTGACGCTAATGGTTCGTTTTCCCGAGGCGAGCAGCAGGAGTGAAGAGAAGTAGGGAGGTCAGCTTGCGGGAGGGGACACAGAAACTAGGGTCAATCCAGACAGTCGGCCTGAACGCAGGCAAAGTTGTGTAGGTCTGTCTGAGCACAGTGCTGGAGATTCCCCCTCCCTCCCTCCACATTCACACAAACTCAGTTTAATGTCGGGAGTATTCGACCCGTTGTTCCGTTCGTACACACAGTTTCCATCTGTCGCTTTGTTGAGCAGAATGAAAAATAAGGGCAAAATGGTAGGATTTGTTTGCACCGTGGGTGAGTGAGACATTATATTCACGCTCTGATAAGCCAATGTGGTTGACATCACAAACCTCATCTCGATGAACGTCAACTTAATTCCTACAGCTGTGCAGGCTTCCTACAGGGCTATTACAAAGCCGCCATTCGACGGATCGATTNCACACACACACACACACACACACACACACACACACACACACACACACACTCACACACGCACACACACATACATATATATATGTATATATATATATATGTCTGCGTCTCAGGAAGTTATTTTTAAGACGCGTACATACTGATGTGTATACGGTATACGGCCTTTACATTAAAGCAACAACTATCTGAACTAGATTTCGATAGTCTGTTTCTAAACCACAGTGGAGAACTTGATTTGACTTCGTCATGATTTTTGTCATAAACAGAGCAAAGTAAAGATGAGTTGAAAATCTAAGCTCTGTTCAACTTCTTCACTCTTGTTGGCTAGCGTCAAAGACTGTATTGCAATAATAACTCAGGTTCCGAATGTTTCCGAACGGCCAATAACTTTGGAAACTGGTGCTGAAATGAGCGAAGTTTGATAGCCACAACAAGCGTGCAAAGACAGTTTGTATTACACCGTGTACCCACACAATGGAACAGTCTGATTAAATGCTTAGGGGCCCAGAGTATTCAGTATGCCAGTGTGTTCGATCAGCGATTTCCCGGTTTCCATAGGTAGTTGGATCGATAGATCCGCATTACTGATGAGATTCAATAACCGTAAAGGACTTTCTCGCTTTTCTGTTCACTTTTCCCATGCTATGCCCAGGACGAAAATGAATTTCGTTAGAAATTGATGGACGATTCACTTGGCGTATACGGAGCATGTTTTACCATTTTGAAAACACCAAAAATCAGCTAACAGCTATTTGGATACAAGAAAGACTCGTGAAGGAACATAGTCTACAGAGAATCTGGAAATGGCAATAGTGTTCGATGATATCCGATAACCTCAGTATGGTCGAGAGCGGATGTCTTGGGTTGTGACTGGTCACCCTTTCTCTGAACCTCGCGAAATGCTCCTATGCAAACCAGTGTCTCAAATGGCCTCTACCGAGAAAGCCCTATTCACTGCCTTCATGTATGGGAGAGGTTTCGCACTAAACTGAGGGAACGGAAATTCAACATCCGGGTTGGTAAACCACTGGTAGTTCACCTAGCGGAGTTGTCCAAACCCCTGATTCCACGCCGTTCAAGAAGAAGCGCATTAACCATAAATATGCACACACACACACACACACAACGGTGGTGGCAGTGTGTTGATTACCTTGGCCGTTTGACCCTGTCCAAAGGGTGTATGATCCGATGAACTGGACACCAGTCCCCTATGGATTGCGGATCAGCCAGCTCGGGTTGTGAATTCCTGAAGAAAGTTCACCCGTTTCGACCTGGGTAAACCGGTAGTATTTCGCTTATGAGCAAATCACGGATTGACTTCCTTGTTGCAAAGAACGTTGGGCCGTGATTTGTTTAGCAGTTTGAATTAAGACGGGTGTGAAATATAGTAATATCATAGTAAATACATCGTATTTAATGGACGCGTTGTGTAGGGCTCGAGGATTAAGGATTGCTGAAAATACACCCATCCGGGTGCATAAAGCTACTACTGACTTGATTTGCGGTGCCCGAGGTTTTATTGCATATTATAATATGGTCAACAGGAACACAGACTTTATTATTGAGCGGAGGACTTAAGGGAATAGAAAGCGTAACAGTATAATTATCGACCTGCAATGGTCTGAACGAAAGAAGCTGGTGAATTTAACTTCAAGCTGTCCCTATGTACTTAATTGCTGTGAGATTGTTCCTATTCGTTCGTTCACAAAGAAAGGTGCTGATGTTGACATCCTAAATAGTGACGTATGCGGAATGAACATTGTCATGTCACAACTACGCAAACCAGAAGTGGTTGTGTACGGGGATTGCTGATGTACCGAGTTTTTTGCGAGGTTTGTTGAGCACCAAAGAATCAATTTGCGTATTAATAGCTAAGATAATATGGGTGAGTAGAGTGAATCCAATTCGACCTCTATATGGTAGTAACTGTGTTACTGAAATTGGATGAGCACCGGGGAAATAGGAGGTTGACCGTTGGCCTGCGCACGAGCGCGCCGCTTATGTATCGATCGGAGCACGATCGGATGTGCGTGTGTGTGTGATCACTGCGCTTGGGGAAATGGAGACACAGACACTCGCACACGCACACACAAACTCCATCTCACTAAAAGCTACTTGTGCGTGTGTGTTCGAAAACTGATTGCGCGTTCACGTTTGCGTGTGTTTGTGCACCCATCTCCAACGGGTATGATACCGTGACGAGTGCCACGCTAGCCTATCACCGGAAGCGGACGTGCCGACCCGAGACAGCGTAACAGAGGGAGCAATCTGCCCGCTCCCATCTCCAACGCAAAATTAGATCGATCGCTCCTGTGTGTACGGGGCAGTGAACGCTGGAAAAGCTGTGCATGTCCTTCTCTCTAACTGACCGTGTGTGTACCTGTCAGCGTGTGCTCCAGCACGTTTTCACATCCCATCCGCTCGCGTTTCCAGTCTGAGCAATGGTGGGGCAGGGAAATTTGCCACAGGCTCCCACATTACTGCTCACATACGCACAGCTAAACGAATGCACGGCCGGAGTCTGTGTGGAAGCTGAATAGACTGACAGTGTGAGGGGCACAGACACACATCACCTTACGTTCATGCGCAAACGACCTACGTCAAGGACAATCGAACGAGCGTGGGTTTCGACTCAGCCTCCGCCCCGTGGAAAGCAACAGCGCAGTCCGCACAAACTGTGTTATGCCGTTCACTGAGCACGAAATAATTACAGGACCACCGTTACCATGATAGATACAAATATCAGGACAAAATCCCCCAAGCACACAGAAACACAAAGGGAATACGCTGCAGGAACCAAAGTGATCATGAATATAATGATATATCAGTAAAAACCCCACGTCCTGTTTGGTTAATCGCAGTAGGGCGAATTAACGTAGCCAACCAACTCTACTCAGCTGAAAAACTTCACCAAAAGCAACGATGATCTGCAGATTTCTATAACTACGTTATTGCTTAGAGCATTACTAGACATGCGAATACCACCTTTCTACCACATTAAAACACTTGAATGCTTGATTTCTTGCATTGAGCTGTTTCATCAAATTTATTCTGTAGCGACAATAATTATTCGAGTAGCATGAACTAAGTACTGTGTATTATTATACACCTTACATACCCCCCTCCCCCACATACGAGCATCGTGCAGATCGGATCCGCACTGCCTGGGGCAAAACAAGCTAACCGAACTCGTCTCGTATGGGTGCAGAAAAACTCGGTATAACAATAGTGTGTGTGCAGTACAATGGCTATTCTACTTATAGTGCGTTAGATCGATAGGGCACACCAGCTCCGACTGGTTTGTGTTTTATGTGCCCAGGTTTGGGCACGCAGGGCTGAGCAAGCCGTCACCGACGACGAAGAAAAACCGAATGAGTCATGCGAGTTGCATATATGCACGGTCCACGGCACACACCGTGGTCGTCACATGCGCTGTTCCGGATCAGGGTCCGAGTGAGGAAGACAAATTTGACCACTCAGTGCCAGCGTGTGTGTGTGTGTGTGTATTGAGGGAATAGGGTGGGTAAGCCAGGTAAGGGAAGGCTGAAATGAAACGACTGGGTGCGCAACCATAGTGCGTGGCAAGTACAACAGCAAGGTGGGGGAGCGATCACCTCCAAATGCACGCATAGTGAGACGATCGATCATCCATGGAAGGTGCACTGGAGATGCGGAGGGACATGTAATAACATGCACACCATTTCCACGGTGCGGCTTCCCAGTCGAATAAAGTGCACACGAAGTGGATCTCGTACTCAAAGCCATTCAAAATGGGTTTGGCCAGATCTGTGTAAACCCGTCAGTAACCACGTTTTATGTGAAATCTGACACAAATTATGCATGTTTTAATGTCCTTCAAAAAACCTTCAACTCTATACTATTTGACGATGGCTCTGGCAATAGACATTAAAAAACAATGAAAATAAGCATGGCAATCGGGAGGATATGAATTCGATGCCGAAACTGAATGTATGTGAAAGCATCACTGCATACAACAATTAGGAATTGCATATGATGAGTAAGGACCAAACGCAGATGGGGATCGTTGGATGGCTTTAGTCTTCCCCTGGCCTTAAGATCCAGGGTAAAAACCACCTTTACTGGCACCCTTCTAAGGCGATCGTTTGCTTTGTTCTCGTTACCATGTCTATCCTGCTGTTGTGTGTTTCTCTACTAGAAGCAGAGATGGTTAGACTGTTGGTGGCCTTCGTTGGATAGCGTGTTCTCGTATCAGTGGGGTTTACACCTGCTATTCATCACAAAGAGATATACCATGGGAAAATACTAATCCCAGCTGCAGTGATCGTAGTAGTAGTTTTAGTAGTAGTAATACACACGTAGCTCGGAACACGAACCACGCAATAGGAATCACAGGATACGAATCAAAGATCAGTTATCGCGGATTGGATCACGGGACAACTGGACCGCAATGGCACTAGCATGCAATGCCCCACGTAACTGAGACGCGAGGAAAAGGCCACAAAAATGGTAGTCCGTAGTTTCGTTTGTTGGAAGAAATGAAGGCGATTAAATAATATGTACAAAAGAAGATCACTGGTTATCTAGGCTTCTACCAATCGTGCTGTAGTATTGCATGCATAACTCTGCTTCTGTCTGCACTGTCTCGGATTGGCCGGCACAACCTGCCTATGACATGTAGTCAGAAGTCGTAAGCGTGTCATTGACATCACCTTTCAAATTTGATTGATCGAAGGTGTCCAGAAACTATTAATTAAATGCTCATGAACAAATGTACACACACAAGTTTTACGACGAATGATCGAACGAAGTGGTGTTAATCGACGTAGGAACTGAGAATAAAACTGTACAATAAAGACGGTATTTTAGGAAAATAAAATACCACTTACTGGTTAGTCCAGTATAGGAGAACATTCCAATCTGTTTGATAATATGGTCCCACGAACCAGGGGTTCCTAATTCTCTGAGTTTCTCGTACAGTAGTTGTCGCATCTGGATCACCCGTTGTGCCATTATGCTGACATCTGATTTCCTGTGTAAAGTGGAAAATACGATGTTAGGATTATATTACTGAATACAATGAAAAGTAGCCAGAGCAACGATGCGTTGCATGCGATCAGACAGTTCTCCAACACGCGGTTGATATGCACCGATGGGAACATGAAAATCGAACTTTAAATACATAAAACAAAAAGGGTTTAC